AATACTGAATGATTGGTGCTTTCCATCACCATATTGGCTTATATTCCACCACTGTTCTTTCCTCTTAGACACTGACTCTATGGTCCTTCTACGCAACCCGGGACGATGCCTCGGGGTCCAACCTCCAACGAGGCTACACTGGATTCCTCTTTTCTTTATTATGGATTTATACACGCCCGAGGGCTAGTTTGCAGTTCGTTCCACGTTCCTCAACTCTCCTTAGATGTTGGATGGGTACAACATGATTCTCACCGAGGCACCGAAGGTCTTGGGAGGCAAGTTTCTCTTGAAGTTGGCTCTGACAACACCGTTGTTACCGTGGGTTCTGGTGACCTTACCCCAGATGACTCTGATCTTGGAACCTCTGATTTCCTTCTGGGCTCTGTAGACGTAGGCAATTCTCTTACCCAAGTAGAATCTGGCGTCCTGAGTGGAGCCGACACCCTCGATCTGGATCAACGACGTGCCTGGGTGGTTCACGTTCTTGGAACGCTGGTAGGACAAGTGCTTACCCTTAACGTACAATCTGTGAGATTCAGCCATGGTGTTATACGGTGGTTGAGGTTGGTAGAAAGAAATCTTCAAAAACTTTTTCGCCTGGTAGAAAAATTCTCGCGGTACTGCAGGGGACTCACTCTCATAGTAATCTACGCTCTCACTTCCCCATATAATCTTCCAAAGCTGGGACCTGCATAAGCCCTCCCTTCCATCACCTCTCCAGTGAGCGCCAGTCATGTGAGAGGGTTCAGCCCTATTGATGGGCACGTGATACACCATCGATAGCCAGGAACACGCCGTAGGCGTCGTGGACGACGAATAAACATACTAGATTATCAAAATCGAGCAGTTAGCTTCCTCAAAAAATCAAGATTATTCTCAATAGGCTTCAATGTTGCCCTGTTTGCTGTAGTTGTCACACCTACAGCCTCGCAGTATCGAACGCACTATAGATCCTGATTACTGATAAGAGATAATGGACAATTTCAGAGCTGATAAATGATATAAGATAAACATTTGTCGCCTTGTTAATTGTTGCTTTGTAGATACAGTAACATATCAACTAGTACCTCCTTCAGCTCCTACATCAACTTGCAGCCAACCCACGCCACAAGCACATTTCATCGGAACTCGTATTCGTATATATTAAGCCGGACGTCGGCATCTCTAGATTCGTATCTCTTTATCCTTCTTCCACTTGTCCAAATTAACACGCCAGTGCTTGGCCTCGCCATTCTCCTTCTTGGACCCCCGGAGCGTGCCCGATGGCACATTGTCCACCGAGAGATTGGCAACATTACCAAGACTCAACAACGGATCGTCTCCAGCGGCACCGTCCTTGAGGTCCTTGCAGTCGAACCAGCGGGTCTCCCATTTGATGCCAGACTCGGCCTCCTTCTTTCTCAACTCTCGTTGCTCGTTTTCGATAAGCGACTTCTCCTGCTGAATCAAGTCGTAGTCACTCTTACGAATGGCGTCGGCCACCTTTTGCCATGCCTTTCTCAGCTCCAAGTCATGCTGCTCCTCTAGAGGCTTGACAGTCAACTGCTCTGGCTTCTTGGCCAAGGCATCGTAGAACAACTCGCCCTTGCTTGAAGGCTTCTCGCTGCCCTTGGCAATGTATGACTTACCGGACCACTGGCCGCTGATGGTGACTAAAGCATTCTCCTTGTCGGAGCTGGCAAGTCTGTCTGCGTAGATGCGGGCCTTGTAGGTGTTCTTCTTACCGCTGAAGTAACCACGGCCAGAGTAGTCAATGACGGCAATGTAGCCGTTGGAACTTTGAATGTACGAGGTGCCTTCCAATTCAACGAATGGAGCAGCGGTGATGAGACCTTCGATGTGCAATGGTGGCAAAGTGATTAAGTATGTCTCGTTGAGGTCCTTGTATTCCAAGATGGCGTGGCCATACTGCTTGACGCTAATTGAGGCGGTGCTGATGGTGGCACGAATGCCGTTGTAGCCCTGCAATAGAATATTGTTCTTCTCGTTGTTGATAGCGTATCCCGTGACAGGAGGGTGGTGTGACACCTGCTCCGACAAAAGCACTGTATCGCCGAACTTCTGTTCTGCCAGCTCATCCTTCCATGACCCCACAAAAACCTCACCCAAGAATGGGTTCAAGGGCTTCTTCTCGGTGCCCATGCTCTCGTTTCTGGAGCAATACTGCGAACGCAAGGTCGAGATAAACCATTTGGTAACGGCAATCATTCTCTTGACGGCCATTGCCTTCTCTGCCTCTTTGGAAGCGTCATCTCTGATGAAATTGGGCTCCAACAAGAGGTCAGGGTGCTCACCCCAGTACTGGGAGTATTCAACCAAGGATGTGGGCGATAAGATGAAAGGAGGCGCTGTCAACGAAGACAAATCGCCGTTGAAAGATGTGATGGACTTGAGAAATGAGGTCCACAGGGCCGTCAGTGCCATGGTGTGTGTTCTAGAAGATGTGGGTCAGTAGGGCAACGGGAACGACGGTAAAATGGTTGTGTATGAGGATGCACGGGTGTGGGTCTGTGCCTCCCTGCCACATATAGCATGTCCTGCAGCTTCATCGTATAAGCATTAGCAAGGCATTCAGGGCAACGTCCCGAACACGGCAAGTGCTCCAAAGACATTATTTTATTTTGGAATTTACATTCCGATAAGAAGGACGCGCCGGTTTAGAAGCCGAGGCCACGTCACCACGAGCCTAGATCACCCACTGCTTATCGCGTTTGCAGCCATCAACATGCAGCTAAAGCTTAATGTATATGTTTTTTTTATGCAACAACACCGCCACTGAAGTCCACACTAAAGCGTATCCGATCAAGAGCAAATACGTCAAATTTTGTGCAAGCTCCAACGTATTGATGGTCATGTTGACCAATCCGGTGAGTATATTGGCCAAAAGGAATGTAGCGAGGCCATTGGCGTTGATTGCATCTAGCACAGTCAGACTCAATGGGCCAATTAGTCTTTCCACCAAATCGTAGCCAAGCAAAAACGCGGCGTTGTAGCTGACGACCCAAAGAACGTACGGAAGGTTAGCCAAACGACGGGAAATGGAGCCTGTGGAAAACGATTCCTTGGCGATGTAGAAGAGGCCTTGAGTGATGACTGACATGAAGAACAACCCCTCCGTGGTGGAGACGGTGAAAAGGTGAATTCCTTTACCCTTGGAGTATGAGCCCCAAAGATTGTTGGGCGTAGGCTTAGACGTGAGAACGAAGGAGCCAAAGGACTGGCCGAAGATGAAGATACTCAAGTACCCACAGAAGGACCACATTCCTTCCTTATTCATGGCAAAAAGCGACTCAAAACGGTTGTCGTCGTCTAAGATGAATGCGAGGAGACCGGTGTTATTCAAGGTCCACTCGTAGAGGCACCCGATAGCCAAGGCTACAATGAACCGAGGAACCAAGTTTAAGATGGGGTCCAAGATACCCAACACGATGGGCAAAAGGCCCAAAGTCATGAAAAAGTTCCAGTGGATTCCGTACTCAGAAGCGTGTTCCTGGTATTCCAACAGTTTCACGCTCACTAGGCGAGCTACACCTAGACCCAATACCGGCAAAGCCTTGATGGTGTTTCCAATCAAAAGCTTGCCGTAACTGACGCCCTTCTGGCCCAAAACCAACTTCCGTTTAATCACGGCGCGTGAGTTGGCAAGACCCATGGAAAACACAAACGATCCCACGCCCAAATCCATCAATGAGGTACCCCACGTCTCTACCTTGGCAAAACGACGTGGAAACGCGTGGAAATCAACAGCCAAAATAGCAAGATTTGTAATCACAAGCATGTGGGCTCTGTAGGCCGTGATGAAGGATTTCTTAGGGAGGAATTCCTCGGACTTCTGCTTCTTAGGCGTCTTCTTGTAGCCCTTGTTGACCATTCCATAGACAAAGATCAAAAACGCAAGCCCCAACGCGTTGAGGTAGATTTTGTCAACCTGGGAGCTGTAGACGGTGATTGCCTGAAGTAGCAAAAGTTCATCAAAGAAGAACTCAATGGCCCAAAGAAGAGGCCCTGATCTGGCCCAATTGAGGCCTGGAAGAAGGTACTTTTTGAAGATTGCATGTGCCACATAGCCAGCTAGCGCCACCCCTGTGACGTAATAGATCTCCTCCACCAGTCCGCCATTGAGGTTCAGCACAAACTGCTCCTTCTGTTCTTTAAGAGACATGTTGCAAATTGAAGACAGCGTGAATGCCATATCGTAGCTCCGTACACCACCGAAGGTCCCAGTTATTCCGGGGCAGTATTTACATAGAAGGAAATGAAATAGGGGGAATAATTGAATTCAAGTATTTATTTAATTTAGGGATTTATGGAGTTTCATTATCTTGGTGGGTATCAGTGTGGATATCTGCGAATGAGCTGGTTAAGTACTAGCGTTCAGGTATACCGATCCCAAGGGCAACAAAAGGCAAAACTCGGCTAAATTGGGATTTCTTGAATAATATTAACAAGCCCTCTTATCAGATATTTGCCAAATCTCTTCTTCTTTGCTCCTCCTCGACATTATCCTATCTCACCAAATGGCTGCGAAACCTGACATAGTACGCTTTGTAAGGAGACCAAATTAACAGGTAACTTAATTTCACTGGCCTTGGGGTCTACCAACTAATTTTTGCATATTCCTTGCTGAGATGCCCATCGAAAGGAATTAATTCGATGTGCGTTTATGTGACTGAAAGGGCAGCTGTACGTTCAAGTAGAAGCAAGTCAAGTATAAAATAATATTTCTGGAGCAAATGAAGCAAGGTTCTTTTCCAATCGCTTTGTCACAGGCATATACAGATGAAAGCTTTCTCTGTAAGCGTCGGCTTCAGTCCTTATTGAATCTGTTGAGATCATAGTGTTTAAGCGGTCTTGGGGCAGGTATTGTCTTAACTACAACTCCTTGACCTTTAAGGAAGAACAATATTTTTTATACTTCTATTGCGGCGGTATTCGCCTCAGTGAACCCCGAATATAATACGTCTGTCTGCTCCATCATTTATCAGACCACAAGATCAAGAATGACTTCCAACTGCTTGTACTTTATCGAGCCTAATGACAGTACAAAACCATTAAATCTTGCTGCAAGAGCAGAAATAGAGAGAGATCCCGCCAACTATGTATCACATGAATCCCACACCTTTATGGTGAATCAGAGAGCATGGACTGCAAGTGTTTTGAACCTAAAAAGGTTGAACGTCACATATGATCTGACCATAGTTGAGGACGATGTTTCGGAATTGGGTAAATCTCCAGATTTTGAAGATGGTCAGGGCCGAGTAGTGAGCTCCTTTATGCGCTTGAAGCAGCTTGAGATGTATCCTCTAACAGTGCCTGAGTCTTCGAGTAAAGAGACTTTGATTGCTTTACGATGTCTTCAAATTGGAGGAGCAAAAATTCCTCTTGATCTTAGAATTCGGACAAATTCTGAAAATAGGTCTGATGCCGTAAAGCCTCATGGTAAGAATTGTGAGCGTTCTATCTCTATGGAGCCTGTTGCAACTTACATTCCACCACAAGGGTACAGGCTAGTTCTGCGGTGTAACTTTATGAAAAGCGGATCAAGCTTGAGTGACTTTTTAAGTGTTGGCTTCCAACGAAGAGGTACATCTTTGTGCAAATGTGATGCAACTATTCTCCTCTCACACATAACAGTTACACTTGAGGAACATACTAGTCTCAAAGTACAGAAGGGTGGAGTGATCGAAGTCATTGAAAAGACTCGCTCACATACTTTGAAAGACTCAGATATCACTTATTACTTCTCTGCCTGGCAATTCGAAAACGCTGGTGAGGGTTACGTTTTGCATCCACCTGCCTCTCTTTATAATTGCAATCTTCCACAACTTGGGCCAACTTTTCACTCCAACTATCGCAGTCGAACCTACCAAATTCGAATTGACCTTGATGTGGAATGCACTTTGTGGGAATTTCCTTGCTCAGAGCGTCTCTCCACAACATTGAATATTGATATCGGCGCCGAAGCGAATTTAATTCCGGGCGCTGCTTCTAATGAATTCACAAAGGTACAAGATTTGGTCTACTTTGAGAAATACGCCTTGGCTCCAGATGCTTTAGATCAGATTCTGGAGAGTACTCTTTTGAAAGCAAAAATGATGAAAAGCTGCTTTGGTTACCAGACTTCGGTGGTGAGTGAAGCAGACACCTTGTTTGCCATCTCGACCTTTTTTGTTACTGAGCGGCCAAAAAAGCTATGGCTTTCTGAGGTTCTGATTAAAGAAGAAGACGGGACGGAATATTCACTAACTTTTTTCAACGACCACTGGAGGACGAAAACAGAAAGTGGTTCTCACAGTAATCTTAACTTGTCATTCGAAGTACCAAATTGTATGAAGATTCTCAACAGCTTCCTTGCCCCCAAAATCAAAGAACAAGACGAATATTTAGAAGCTACTTTGAGCCACAGAGGAACATCGGTTGCCAACCCAGGTATGATCTGTAAGCCTTGCATGACAATTACTATGAGAATACCTAAGTCGTTCGTTGTAAAAAATGTTCCCCTGTTCAAGTTTTACTTCACAGAGCAACTTTTTTATTTGACACAAGCTGGTCAGGCTATTCATCACAGGCAACATAGGGATTTCGACTCAGGTAGGGCAAAACGTGCCTCTAATACTCTTACCATGATTGGAGGTAAGATGGTCTGCACTCCTTTTGATCCAATTGAACGGATCAAGATCCCCGATGTGGCCCCATCACTTCACTCTAGCACACTTCATAGATGTTATAAACTCTATGTTACGGGGTCTAATCCATCACAAGCAATGTCGCTGTGCCTTGATACAGTTTTTGGAATTGCTGATGATAAGAATTCAATAGCTGGGACAAGTGCTTAGACTAATCGTTAAATTTGTGAAAAGTCAGAACGCACGAATGTGTCATGTTGTTTGGACATGGGCATTTGAAGACTTCCTGATCAATTGGTCAATCTTTTGGGCGCACAACTATGGAGCAGGCGTTTTGACGAAACGAGTGAAGTATATAGCTGGTCTATTCCAAGGCTGTAATTCTTTGCTTTATTGCTGCGAGTATAATCTTTAAGAAACTCAAAATTATTTAAGCATATTAGAAAAACAACAGATACTGACGACCATACGTAGATGCAGACACTTAGTCAGTTTGATTCTATGCAACCAAAGCTAAGCCTAAAAGGCATGACTTCTCTCTGGCCCTCCTCTTTATGAACTACGTTTGCAGTTGTTGCCCGCTTAATCTACTGAGCGCTTTGCGTCAGTCCTGACTCATCTCCTGGAAGTTGCATGGGGAGCTCGGTCGAATTTCCTTTGCCCTCGCTCTTGATAGTAGACTTATCGATGTTTCCAGTTAGCTTTGCTTATTCAATAAGCCATTGATAGAAGGTATGGTCTTCCTTTTTGCGCCGTTTCTCGGACCCTGGAAGCGGTGTTGTTGATGGTCTGTGTGGATTCATACCAACTGGCTTCTCTTCGTCTGGGGAATTCGCTTTATCTTGGAATTTGCTTTCCTCCAACTGTAATTGACTTGAAATAACAAATGTCAGCCAGGCAGCTTTAATGTAAAAAAGCCCCACTAACAACAAATATGCACAAGCAATAGCGTAAGGAGCTGCAATGCATCTGTTTTTACTACCAAAAAATGCCGCTATGGAAATACATGCTAACACCAAGGATGCCAATACGTGAAGTAGGCCCGCAAAGTGGATAAAAATGACATGTCCGCTCCTATTAATGTAGAGTGCAAGGAGAGCAAAGTCATTGAGCATGAGCAAAAAGAGCACTTTCGCCACACTTATGATGTAATCGAGCCATGTAAGTGGGAAAACGTACGCAAGTTCCAGGCGGGCATATGAAATGTTGCTCAGAATCCATGATTGTATGATATTATCGAGATCACCTGCTATTCTTCGGTCACAATCGATATTCTCTAAGGGGTTCAAATTTCTGACGTGATCCAGGGGATCCTCCTTTGAGACATTAGCAAGGATTTCAAAATATGGTCGGGCAGCAGCAGGGAGGGCTTCTAAAAATGCAACAAGTGGGTCCGGGATGCCCTGTGGAGGTCGTTGAAATGCAATGTAGGCAAGATGCCCACAAAGTCCCATGACAAGGATGGCATGAACAGAGGCTCCGACATAGGAATAAAAGGTGGCTTTTGATCTTTCAACTTCCCTCCAAGGATTGAAAATGGTTCTAAACATGTGGAAGTTGGAATAGAAAGTATTGGTTTGATGTCACGTAAATGTGGGGATTACGTGGTATTTATATTCCCCAGCGAGGGTCCACAGACGCGTCAGACTGAATTTTACCCAGTATTCTGTATTTCTTTTGATTATTCTGATGTAATTGCATGCGTCAATCGGCCGTTTTGGTGCATCTTTCGGAGTGATGGGGGTGCGGCTGACATCTGAAACAAAGATAAAGAAACCCCCAAACTGTGCGGAAAAGTAAAGGAATTGATTTTTAAAAATGTTTATCTGTCTCTTATCTTATTGTTCTTCCTGAAAACTGTCAATTGAGAATCCTCGTGAACGGATGTCTACATTAAATTGAGTAATGATGACTCGAGCGATTCCATCTTATGAGATCCAGAGGCCAATTGAACCCAAGAAGCTTTGAAAGTAATTGTGGACTTTGGTGTCAATTGTCTTTCAACATTACTCGGAGATCTTCGGTGAATTCTTTCCCATCGTCTTGGATCGAGCCTTTCGATGAGATCTACCTAAGCCATTGAAGAATCTGACAACACCTAATCTTTGAAGCTTAATCTCCTGGAAATTGAAGAGAAAATAAAAGCTGGTTTGTTTGTTGAAGGCATTCACTGAATTCAGAAGAAAAAAAGGAATCCAGAGTTGTCGCCAGTAGATAGCACCCAGTATACTACTGCCTTGTCTGGACCCTACTCAGATCTCAAACCTACCTGAATTGAGCTCAAATTTCTCCCAACAATCTCACGTCAGAGATCCATCAAAAGCTCAATTACGATTTCCTCTTACTACTGAAGGTCTCTGGTAGTGGTAGGCCTGGTTCTCTGCCGGATTATCAAGGCACTGGCTGCTAAATTCGGCCAGCCTGGGCTGTGCTGGATGAAGGAAAGTCAATTTCAAAGAATAGCGTCAAATCTCATTAGCCATAAGTTTTTTCAAATATCTGCATTGGTTGAAAATCGGTATTATGGCCTGCCTTGTCTGTACCTGGACAATGGCACTTTTGCACTTGAACGCCATTCATAGTAACCACCAAAAACAAGCCGAATTTTTCCTTCTTTCTCAAAACCGTACCTGCCACCCTTCAATCTCCATAGAAAAAATCAATACACTTGCTCATCGAAGATCGCCAGAATAAGCCTGCTCGTTCTGTGGCTTGCTAGTATGTACCCTTTAGGAAATACCTCAGGCTGAGGGGATGACTACCCCAGTCTTTCAGGCACGGATTGTGAAGACGGTAAAAATTTTCCAGCGTCAAACTCACAAGTCCTTTCTTTTTATATTCTACCATATTCAACAAAAAAAAAAAAAGAAAGAAAAGCCACCCCAGACACTGCCTATCACCAGTGCTTATCAGGATTCGCACAAAAAAAATCAAGTTAGCACATCTGACATTACCCCAGGTTCACCAAGGCCCCTAAGACAGCAAACACTCAAACAGAAACCAAAAATGTCGTCGGATACTCCTGAGCTCTCGCCTCGGTCCGATGACGACAGCATGCTTTCGGAAGATCCAGGCCTCTCGCATGTCCACGGATCATCGTCTCTAAGCTCGTTAATGGGTGAAAACGAAATGGAAAAAAGATGGCTGGCACCGTCCGACAACGGCTCCGAAAGCGACGCCAGAGAAGTCGGCGCTCACGTCTACCTGAGTGCTTCTGAGCTGGAAACACAGCTGGTGAATTTGAAGGATGTAAAGAGAAAGAAGAAAGCCGTGCTAGGGTCACAGTCCAGTCTGCCTGGGCTGCTGCCGAAGCAGAAAAAGAGGTTGAGACGGAAGCTGAGAAACTCAGATGTGTTTCTGGAGCGGTCCCATCGGTCTGAATTCCCGGGAAGCGGGTACACGCTGACGCCAGCAGCGGGCAAGATTTTCAGGAATTTGTTGATTCTCGAGGAAAGCCTTCGTCAGCAGGTCATGCAACAGCGGGCGCTCAGACGGAAGTACTTGACGTTTTTGGCCGTTCTTTGCTCGCTTATTGCCTCGATATCCCACCACTTGTACTTTAACGAACACAGTGCCTCCGTCAGGGTTCTGCTTCAGCTCCTGCTTTTGGCATTGTCCGTCACCTTGATGCTCTACCACTTGTCGGGAGAGTACCAGAAGACGATTGTTCTCCCGAGAAAGTTTCTTTCCTCCACAAACAAGGGCTTGCGCCAGCTTAATTTGCGTTTGGTGAAGATCAAAACGTCCATGACCGACTCCACCGTGGACCTCATACGAGAGGCAGGGCTCTTTTTGTGCACCATGTGTCTACGAAGCTTACACACCGTATACCCTTCGATGATCCAGAACCCCAGCTCCAGGCTTGAGGTGTTCTTGGTCTCAGCACAGCTGCAATGTCAGCCACGGTTTGGTCTCACCGACGTCAAATTGACGTTGATGCCTCGTTCGTTCAATACGGATATCAGAGAGGGATGGGAGCTCTACAGGAACGAGTTCTGGATCAACGAGGGCGTCAGAAGAAGACTGGCCATGATGGAGTTTGTGGAAGGCCCTTCGGAAGAGAAGAAACGACCTAAGAAGGAGAAGGAGCAGCGGCGTAGATCCAAGATCCCTCCGGCTGCCAAAGATCTCCCCAACCCTCTTCAAAGCAGCCCACCAAACCTCGATGGAGTATTCCCAGCCCATGAACTCTCCAAGGAGAACTTGGAGGCCTTGGGCAAAATGGAGGGTATCAATTTGGAGCGCTCATTCTAAGCTGCGCCGTTTACGTTCGTCATAGATGCATTAATTACAAGTTGGGGCCGAGCTTCTCGGCCACTCTACGTCCAAAAACCACACACTCAAGTAACGAGCTGCCTCCAAGCCTGTTGGCGCCGTGCACACCGCCACTAACCTCTCCAATAGCATACACATTTTGCATAGGCTCACCTGAATCGGTGATCACCTGAGCGTGGTCGTTGATGGCCACTCCGCCCATAGTGAAATGAAGAACCGGTGTAACGAAGCCGTAGAAAAAGTCTTTGCCAAACGGATTGCCAAAGTTGGTTCTTCCAAGCTTGTCGTTTCCAATGGCCAGATTGTACTCCTTGAGGCCGTTTGTAAGTTTTTCTGGATCTATAGGTTTAGAAGAGATCTGCTGTGCTCTGCTTGCAACGTCTTCAGCGTTTCCTTTGAACATGAGGCTCTGAGAAATGTAGAAATCAATGTGTGGTTTGGCCTTGAGGTAATCCTCTTCGCTCACTGCAACAACACAAAACGCAGTGTTGCTGTCGCTCTGACAACTTTCAAAAACACCTTGAGTGACATTATCCCTCGTAGTAAGTTCATTCACAAAACGGGCACCAGTGTTGGGTGAAAGAAGCACACCTCCAATGCCTCGAATCAACTCTCCACACAAAAACTTCCATTTGCTGCCGGCGGTCTGTTCATCCTTCAATTGGATAAATCCAGTAGGATGCACCTGGATGGCGTCCATGTCTATAAGCCTAGCGTTGAGCTGCTTTTCAGCGAGTTTCTGGCCATCTCCAGTGGTCTGCTGGCCGTTTGTCAGGGGAAGATGGACCAAATCGGGCCTGTAGCGCTGGAGAAGACTGGAAGACGAAAAATCAGCAGAAAAGCCGCCCGTGGCTAGGACAATGTTTTTCGAAAGAAGCGTGAACTTGTGGTCTGAGTCCTCCACCTCTACTCCATCTGCCACAAGATCCGAGTGGATTCTGAAGCTCCGGAGCGTGGTCAGTTTCAAAACATCCACGTTTTTCGCCGCTTCGATTTTCTTGATCAACGCCGAAACAATGGCAAATCCAGGCGGAAGCGGTCCTTTACCTCTATGAGTACGAGCAAAAGAGTGACCTCCCAACATCGCCACAGCACTCAAATCAACACCACACTCGTCCGAAAGCCAGTGAATAGCGTCTGCTGAGTTTTCCGAAAGCACATCCACCAACTGAGGATTGGAAAGGCCCTTTCCAGACTTGAGGGTATCTTGAGCAAAAAGCGATACCAGGTCGCCTGGTTCCTGGAACCGTGTTTGGGCGCCATTGATGCCCGAAGAGGCCTTGATGGAGTTTCCGCCCAATTTATCAGTTTTCTCAAGAAGCGCCACCTTCATGCCCTTCTGGGCCAAAGAAAGCGTAGCAGTGAGTCCAGCCAAACCAGATCCCACCACCACAGCGTCATAGTGTCTCATGGAAATGGTCACCATGGACATGGAGGCTCTGTAAGTCAAGGAACGTGCCCACAAAACGAAAAAGAAAACGGCGAATAGGAACACCGGAAGCCGGAGGTATAAAAGCCGAAAGTGTATCGTGGTGGAAAAATGCCCCGGATTTTCGCAGCCATTATCGCTGGATATATACGCCATGCGTTAAAATCAGCTGATGCGGCTCCTGACGTGCCCAGCCTGGGTGGTTTTCGTATGACCCCTGTGGGCCGTGATTTTGGATATAATGGGGGATTTGGGAGATGGCTTAGGGGGTATTCCGATCCGGACCTGGTGATGGTGTCATTGGATGCGATGGTGCAGCAGATATGGAAAATGCGTAAACGAGGGGCACTGGCAATTTGATGAATTGGATGGAAATGCCATTGGATGGATAACCGGAAGGATGAAAAATCAGGAGAAGTGAAATGTTATAAAGGGCCATTTGGCGGCTTTTGATGTGAGGTACTAGTAAGACTGACTGGTGATTCTCACCAGATGAGCAATAAGTCCAGACCCACCCACACTAAGCGAAACAACTTTTTAATGAATCTGAGCCATTAAACCCTCAAATATTCACCTCCTTTTGAAATCAACCGAATTCCCGGGCCCAGACGTCGAAATCGGTGGAATTCCATACCCGCGCACGTGACCTGACCACCTACTTCTTCACCACATTTCTAATCATTCTCAATCACCATGCTTAGACTAGACCCGGTTATCCACCCAGACACAAAAAACAAGCGGTTCAAGTTTGAAGACTTTCTCCGTAAGGAGTTCTCCTTCGGTCTAGATCCTGACAGACCCGTCTGCCAGTTCTACAAGCCCAATCAGCCAGACTCTTGCCCCGAGGGTCCCTTCTGTCCAAACAAGCATGTTCCATCAATGTACAATAACAAGATCGTGTGTAAGCACTGGCTCCGTGGCCTCTGCAAGAAAAACGACCACTGTGAGTTTCTCCACGAATACAACTTGAGAAAGATGCCCGAGTGTCTCTTCTACTCGAAGAACGGCTTCTGCACTCAGACGGCTGAGTGTTTATATTTGCATATCGATCCCCAGCAAAAAATTCCTGAATGCCCACTTTACGAGCAAGGTTTCTGTCCCGATGGTCCGGATTGCCCCAATAGACATGTCAGAAAGATCCTCTGTCCCCATTATGTGACTGGATTCTGCCCCAAGGGCTATGAATGTGATTACAGTCATCCAAGATACGACCCTAATGTGGCGAGAGAAAGTAAGGTGAAGAAGTTGGTCAAGGGCGAGACGAGAGAAATCGAAAAGATCTCGTATGACCAGCCGCTCACGGACGTTGTAAGACCTCCCCCTCCCCCACCACCTCCCCAGGCAACCTAGGGTATTTATTGCATCAAGCCATCTGTGTATAGTAATGTCTAATGAACTTTTAATTAACGTAATTGTAGATGTGATCAGACACGGAAACGACGGATCTGTTTCCTCTCGAGCGGCGTCAAAACCCAGTTAATACCGGCATCCTCCTCATCCTCGCCGTCTTCGTCGTTTTTAGAAAACGAATTGAGCTGGTATTCCTCCTCGTCCATTCCCACAAGAAGCACCAACTGCGTGAGACGAACAAACTTCTCTCGGAGCTCGTAGTCATCCTCGCAGACCTCGTTAATAATGAAAGAAACGTCTTTATCGAGCTTCAAAGCACCAAGCTCGTTGATTTTGAACTTCTTGAGCGCCAGCATCAACTTCTTCTCGATCATGCTGGCGAAGTTCACCACAAGAAGTCGGAGCAACTTGTAGAATACCAAGGTCTTGTGCATCGTTTGCTTGTATGGTCTGATCATGGCATCCCAAGACTGCTTGAACCTGAGCATGTTCGAAGGGTCATTTAGAATGGAAGATGAATAAGCCATGTAGTGAGTGTCGCTTGTTTCAGGGAAGGTTTCGAGAACGATGGTGGCAACCCTGTTTTTCAATGATTGATTGTAGAAGTTGAGCAACGAATGTCTCACGACATTGTTTGTGCTGGAAACAAGAGGTTCCAACAATTCGGCCTGGATGATGTTTCTGATTTTCTCCTCGTCGATTGCAAATGGGAAATTGCCCTTGAGGTAATGCTTGTCTCTGACGGTGAGGTTCACGATAATCTGGCGGAAGAACTCCTGGGCTGTAGCAACGGTGTTGAGGTAAATGACGTAGTTTGTGAGTTTGGGTTCATTGTGGGCCGCCGTGACAGTGCTGGCCCCTACCATAGAGCTTCCTGTGCCGACGATGTTTCCAAATGCAGAAGATGCACCTTTGAGGTACCCACTTACGGACTCTGGTGCTGGAGTTCCTGCTCTAGATGCAGAAGGGCTACCTGTTCCACTTGGTACAGCACCGTGGGCTGCAAGTAGAGCAAGCGTTTTGTTGTAGCGAGGCAGATTCTCCTGAAGAGCCTTGCGGATAAAGCCTCCTAAGAAGTCGTTTTGAAGAACCTTGGCGCATTCGGCCACAAAGTGTTTCACTGTTGTAGGCTGTGTGGACTCCAAAACGTTTCTCAACGAGTTGTTGAAAATCAAGCTTAGATCCTCGACAACCGAAGACACAGCCGGCTGCTCGGGAGACTTGGAATCAGCGGTGTTGATCAAGTATGAATCAAGAGATGGCACCTCTTCGATGGTGACGGCTTTTTCAAAGGAACGACGGAAATAGTACGTGAAAAGCGCCTCGAAAGCTGGGAGGAGCTTGTTGTGAATCTTCTTCATGAAGTTGGAGTTGCTAAGCAATGTCGGAAGCTTAAGGTCCTCCTCACCTTTGGAGAAGTACTTGACCGCCACAAATTTGCAGTACAACGACCAGTGATGGAGAATGCTTGAAAGTTCATGTGTCAAGTCGCCAATCTCAACGAGAGGCACAACGTCATGATCAAACACCTCGTTCTCCTCAGGATCGTTCTGCTGGTAGTGGTCCGAGAATCGGCGTGTGAGCTCGGTGAACTTGTGAAGCTTTATATCGTGGAGAGTCTTTTCGACTCTGTTGTTGTCGTAGAATGTATCAGCAATGAGGCCAATTTGTGAGTCGATCTCCCTTTGGATCCTGGTGACCACGAAAACCACAGCGTCAGGATACGAGGTACCATAGTACTTGTTGATCAACGGCGTGTGCTGCGAGAGCATGGTCAGGATGCTCTCAAAAAGATTACTTGTCACCGAGGCGTAAATGCCCAGCCTGGACTCGCCCTGGGTGGCCGAGTTGATCAAGGTTCTCGAAGTGTCAGTGATAATCGAACATATGAACTTCGAGTAGCACTGGAGTCCAACCTCCTCCTGGTCTATTAGAGGGAAAAGCTGGAAGTATTTCGTAATCTCCGGCACGGATCTTGCCTTGGCGGCCTCGTTGAACCGTGTCTGGAACTCTATGGTCAACTGCTCTATCCATTTCTTGATTGTAGGAGCCGGAAGCTCGGGTATATCCGACAGCGGGATCATCACCAGGGCAAATCGGCCATTCACCAAGTTGGGGCTGAGCTTGTGGTTGATCACATGGATGCAATTGGCTGCCAACTCCCAGTTTCCCTTCTCTATAGCATACTGCGTTTGGTTGATGTTGTTCTTCAACAGCTGGACGTCTGCCACAAACAGCAAGGTGGCATCCACATTGGATATCTCCTGGTCCAAGGCTTTTATCTTAGACGTGAGCAGGTGGCCTAAATCGTTCGCTGATGTAAACACCTTGGTCAAGTCGTTGGAGTTGGAAATAGCTCCTGAGAGTTTTGCTCTAGAAAGCTCCAACAGCGAGATCTCAGCTGTGTGTTTTTTCGATCCAACCGTCACTAGCCTTTGTAAATCTGAGTCAATGTCGGCTGTTTCTGAGTCGATCTGGTGGATCAAGTCCTGTAAAGCAGACACAGACAGAGCATTCTGGAAGCTCTCGTGGAGCTGGTCATACTGATTATTGAGATTTTCTTCATTTAATGCTAAGAATGCAGATGCTGCCGTGGATCTGGCCTTTGCCGTTTCGGCCATTGTATGTGGTTTTGTTGGCCTCTGTGGTATTGAAAAGTGAGGTAGGCTCATAATACTGCACCAATTACGCTAGGCTCGCTACCTACTACTACTGCGACTTCATCAACGCTTCACTGTTCATTAACTGATCTAACTAAGCCAATGCACCCATAGGGTCGTAGAATGGCAACAACTTGTAATCCTTGCTCTTCCAGAGCTCGTAGTGCGAACGCTCAACGTACGCCTTGGATGTCACCACCTGGAACACATACTCGTCGAACCAGTCGTCCGACATCAAGTACCAGCCCTTCTCTCCGCCAGCATCGCCCCAGGAGTTCTCGACCTTCCATCTAACAGGCTTGCCGTTAGTGTCCAAATGCACACCGGCGATCACCATGGCGTGGGTCATCTGGGACGAGCCAGTTCTCAATCTCTCTTCCTTACTCAATCTAGGAGCGGCACCAAGAACCAACTCGTAGTCGAACAAATTGGTGTCCATGATGCCCAGTGCACCGTCAAAGAACTTGCCAACGTCACAGCCAAAGAACACAGGCTCGTTGTTCTTCAACATACCGATAACAGCCTTCTTCATGGCAGACAACTCCACGTTCACGTACTCAATTGGTCTACCATTGTACACGTTGTTCAAACGGTCGACGGTGTACAACCTGTTGTATTCGTTACGAGGGTCGTTGAGCAAGGAGAAGCGCTGGGTGACGTTGTAAGCACCGTACTTCTTGTAGAACTCCTTGGCGGTGGTCTTAACACTGAAGAACTTACCGTTCTTGTCCTTGTACTCCCAGGTGAACTCGTCATCCGGACCCACTGGAGAGCCCAAGAAAAGGGCAATGATGTTGTAGATCTGCTTGTTGAAGCCGTTCTTGGCAGCCAACACAGCTCTCTTGGGGGTGTTTCTTGCAACCAACTTTCTCAACACCAACGCGTATTCTCTCAATTTGTCGGTCAAGATAGCGTTCAAGCTGCTGGAAGCAGCGGCGTTGGCATTGTCGGGGAACACCTCATTTGGCACAATACCGTACTTGTCGATGATGTTGGAGATCATGTCCCACTGGCCACCGTCATTGACAGAACCAGCAATAAGCCATTGGGTCAAACGCGAGTCGAGTGGCTCGTCAGCAGTGTCAATGATGTTCTCCAAGAAGTAGTTGGCCTTCTCCAACTTGTCGTAGAAGTAGAGGTAGGCCTGGGAGATCTGGAACGCGTTGGGGTCCAAGTTCTGTCTCTTGATGATATTGGATCTGATCACGTTGGAAGTGGCGAAGATCCAGCATCTTCCGGAGGACTTCTGGTTGTCCAAGAACGATGGCAGTCCGATTGGGTCGACCTCCACGTTGAAAAGGTGACGGTCGTTCAAGGTCAAGTCAATGTTTCTCTTCTTGGTGATCTCTGCAAGCGTGTGCTGAGAGAACGCGTTCTGAACGATTCTGTTCTTGGGGTCCTCCTGCAAATCAGCGTCCCAGCGCTTGATGGTAGAGGAGTTGAGATCATTCAGGTAGTCACAGACGTCCAAAGACAAGGTCTGTAAGTACTCGGCGGCACTGTCAGCACGGACCGATGGAGCCTTGTAGGCAGCCTTTTCGTCGACAATCTCCACGGAGGCGTCGTCTTTATAGTTCTTTGAGGTGGTGGAGCCCATTTTGGAAAAAAGCTTGGTGCACGGTATATTTGGGGGGTTCGCTTTATTTATACCTCGAGTCTCCCTTATCGCCCTGCAGAGACACTGTGGATGATAACCAGCGAGGTAGCGGACCGATAAAGGCAGATTCAGGGAGTGGCGAAAGTTGTTTTTGAGTAACTTTTGGAATTTTTGGTTTTTTGGTGGAGGTTTAGGAGGATTCAGTTTATCAGAGGCCATTTGGCATCTCTTGTATCTCTTGTTCTATTGGCTGCGAAATTCGGGGTTATTGTCACCCCTGTGGATTTTCTATTTGATTGACATTCTCAATTATGGAAAGACTAAATTCAAAGATCTCTTCGTAGGAATGGAATTTTGTGACGAGGATCTCTGACTTGTCCGATAAGGTAACATGGTTGGGTGATATTGACGTAACGCAGATCCATGCGTATCATTTGACGTATTTTTGACACATCCATGGCTACTTCACTGAGTTAGCTATAATTCGAAATTTGATCATTTCTCTATTGCTACAGACTCATGAATCATGCTAAGTATGCGTTGTTGAGTTATATGTTATTGTGGCCATTCCACTGTGTGGCATGGTCCGCGGATCTGAGACACGGACCAACTACGGGGAATCACGGAGTTCCAAGACATCAACGTTAGATGCCAAAAGTTGGCATGTTAGATAATGCAACTTCGAGAAATGACTCCGAAGTCCTCCGAACCGAAATTCACCGATTTGCAGCTTTCATCAAGAC